CTGAGCCGCAGCTGCCAGCCAGGCTGGAGCACTGGCCCGGCCCCCCGCGGCCCGCTGCTCCGCCCGCCGCCATTGGCCCATAGCCCTAGCCCTGCCGCATTCCCATTGGCTTAAGGTTGCTTCCTTAGCTGTCCATCACCCCTTGTTTACCCTGTCTACGGGCAAATCCAGCCAGGCCGCCCCATCAACTCAGGCTCCCATTGGTTAATGGGATGTCCCTCCCCACCTCTCAGGGATCTGTTTTACATAATCTATGCACCGGGGGCCATTGACCAATCAGCACAGGCTTGTTTATATAATGAATGTAAGGACGTTTTTCATTCATAAAAAACACGACCTGAGGGGGAAGCTTAGCTGAGTCAGTGAAGCACTTAAAGGGGCCGAGGCCCGGAGGAACTGCGGTTACTTGTCTCCTCGCAGGTCTTCCAACTTTTCAGAGGCATGGCTCGTCCCTCTTCCCCATTCACCCATTTCTCCCACTAGCAGCGCACTACCGCCAGGATTGGGCCCCATGGGCGACAGACGTTCACAGCTGCAGAACCAAGCAAAACGATCATTTTAGAATTCAGGCGAGAGGAATTCGTCATTCCACCCAGAGAGAAACTCGCTGACCGACCTGGGCGTTCGGCCCACAGAAACACAGAAAACGGAAACCGAGCCCTCTAATCTTAGTTACCTTTAAGAGAGGCCTTAATTTCCTTTACCCAGGTTTCCAGTGGGGAAGAATAAGCAGCATCTCCCTTTAAAAACCTGAGCTCTTGAACAGATTTTAGTTACTATTTTATACTGGCAAGGCCTAAGGCCGAACCAAATCCCGTTTTCTATCCATGTGTAACTGCAGTTTATAACCCTCGCTAGAGTGGGTTTTGGATCCAAGATGAGAGAGGGTCGGCGCTAAATGAAATATCCTCTCAGGGGAGGGCACCAACCAGTCAGCCGACCTAGCGGCATAAATCCCTCGGAAAAGGGCTTGCGGAGTTAGACCGCCTCCCTCCCTCCCGGAGGCTGCTTGTTTTCCATTTAAGTGTTGAATGCAAGATGGTGCGTTTGAGAATTAGATCCCGTGCAGCTGGGAGCGGCGAGAAGCGGCTCTGCTTGCCAAGCGATGGGGCACTAACTGCAATTGCCGAGATTCTTAACGGGGCGTTCCAGGAAACAAATAAACAGTCTTCTCGCAGCTCTCCCCCGTCCCCATCCCCTCGCCAGTGAAAACCGCGGGGAGGCTCCGCTCCACCCTAGGATGCGGGGGCTGGCAGGGGAGCTCTGCCCTGCCATTCATCCCGAGTGCTAGCGGTGGGGTGGAAAGAAGCCAAATGTTAGGAGAGAGCCCCCAGTAAAGGGGTCCCCAGGGTAGCGAACTCCGGGGCTGCTCCTGGATCCCACCATAAAGAATGCAGTGTGGATTTTTAGAGGGGATTTTTTTTTTTTAGTCAAAATTTGCCCACCTTTTTTTCTGCTTCCACTCTTGTGTATCGTAAACAGAGCCGGCAGGCACTTGGTCTGTAGTTTAAAGCTCAAAAAAAGGTGGGAGTTCACCTAAGGGACCTGGAATACCCTGATTGAATCCTGGGCTCAGCACTGACCAGGCATGAGCTATTATTTTTTAAAATATATATTTTATTGATTTTTTTTACAGAAAGGAAGGGAGAGGGATAGAGAGTTAGAAGCATCGATGAGAGAGAACCATCGATCAGCTGCCTCCTGCACACCCCCCATTGGGGATGTGCCCACAATCAAGGTATATGCCCTTGACTGGAATCAAACCTGGGACCCTTCAGTCCGCAGGCCAACGCTCTATCCACTGAGCCAAACCGGTTAGGGCTGAGCTACTATTGATGTTGGGAGACACTAGGGTGGGCATGAGTTGATAGGTGGAAAAGTGCTCAGCACTTTTAACAAGCA